CCGGTGTCCCCCGGCGGCGCAGGCTGCCCCGGCTGCGGCTCGCTGCCGCCGAGCGCTGTAGCGGAGGCAGCAGATGGGGAGAGCCGGGGGAACAGCCTCCGTCAGCACCGTGGGCGGCACCGTTGAGATACCGGGGGCTTCACTCACGTCCAGACCGCCGCAGGCTTTAAGGAAGATAACGTAACACTTTCTCCTTCGTGTCCATTAGTAGATAGGTAGTGCTTTTCTGTACGTGGCACAAAGGTGTGTACTGCAGAAGTGTTCGTATGGATTTTAAAAGTGCCCTGCTAGTGCTCCAGACCAGAATTAAATCTCAGCTTTCCTCCTTCACTGTTTATACTTTGCTCTTGTTCAAGAGGTCGCATCTCGGGGTACGCCGGTGCTTGCCGCGTGTGCTGACAGACAGCGAGCGTACCTTTTGGCCGCTGGATTGAATTTTGGCAGCTGAGTGGTTTGACCTTTTTGCTCTTCGCAGATCCTGAAAATAGATTTTTCAGCCTATAAAACTTTTTGGTGGCTAAACATAGGCTTCAAAGTGTTGTGTTTCCTTCGCGTTCGGATCAAGTTCACTATTTTATACCTACTGCTTAGAGAGGGTTTTTTTTTTTTTTTTAGGGGAGTTTGTGAGAGTTTAGCAAACTTTCTCCTTTTCCAAATACACGTGCACATAGATATTAATTTACAGGTTGGATATTTTATACTTTCTTTTTGCAAGTAAAATACAAACAAAACTAGAATAATGTAAATATTAAGATAGTGAAAAATAGTTTTGTCGTCTTTCATTTCCCAGAGTTATTTTGCAGGTAACGGTCTGTGCTGGTTTTTAGAGCCCAGAGGATGGTCAGGTTTGAGCAGCGATTGCCAACGAGAATGTCATTGGGAATTACAGATGACACAACATCCCCCATATTCCTCATAACGATTTTGATAATCAGAATTATGTTACATATTTCGGAGATGCTCTCAACGTTTTTTCTGGGGGTGGGGAAGCTTTGGAGAGACCTACAGTGCCGCTTACGCTTTCAGAAAATACGTGAACAAGTAGTTGGTAAAGTGCTTCTCTTGTGTGCTTTTCAGAAAATGGACATAAAAAGGTGATTCCAAATGAAGATCTGGTTTGCATTTTTCATAAGTGTAGTCAATATTTATAAAGTTAATATTGGATCAATAACATTTGTCCAATACTATATTTTAATTTGCAGGACTGAATATCTAGTGGCTGACACGACTGTGGGATTTTGTTTGTTTTACAGAAGCCTTTTCATTTTGATCATGATACCTGATGCTGTCAGAATAGTTTTGGCCTTTTTTTTCCTGTATCAGAACATTTTTTTAAAGGAATAGTATATAATTTTATCATTTATAAATGGTAAAAGTATATACACTTTATCGTTTTATCACAGAATCTGATTCTGTGATACAACCTCCTTTCCATATAGTTGAGTGTAAATTTAAAAAAATACTAGAATTATATGTGGCAGAACATAAATGAGCAGCTGAATTAAAGGACTGGTTATTTTATAGTATTCCATGTGGCCTTGATTCCTCAAAAGCTTACTACTGACTTTTACTTTTTTCAATAGAAAGACCATGTTTGTGGGCTTCAATCATACGCTAAAGTTTTTATATCTGTATACGTGTGTTCATTTACGGATGGATTTATAGAAGTACTGTTGTGCATACAGGTACCAAGAATGCACCAATTCTTTCTGTGTACTCATTTTCTTAAAGAAAATTCGAAGCATTTTATGGACTAGAACTTTTGTTTAGATTGTGTTGCTTTTTGTTCCATATTGATGTTTTCTAAAGGTTCTTCTTGAACTAAGGCATGAATTGAATTTATAAACAGGAATCCTGCTTCATATTGGATTGCAACATAAGCTAATGTTTAAGACTGGGCTATTTGGCCGGCGTCATCCATTTGTCGTCTTCTGCGCTCTTAATCCTGTTGGTGTGTGAGTTAGCTGTAAGGAGGCTAGCTAGACCTTTGGTTTCTAGAAAGGTGCATCGTTTTCTGTCGGTCGCATGAAATCTGAATGTGATTGGGCAAGCGTGGTCTAAATCAGCTTTTTCTCAAAACGTACGTCGAGTTACAGGTGGATATTCAAATGTGTAATAAAAGTTTTAGGAATAACTTTATCTTCAAATCAGACTTACACATCTTGTTCTCCTTCCTTTTTCCTGCCTTTCCCCAAACCCATTTTATTTACAGCTTCCAGCTGATCTTACCAAGATGCATCTTACCGACAATCCTCATCCTCAGGTGACTCACGTCCCTTCAAGCCAGTCGGGATGTAGCTTTGCCAGTGATTCTGGGAGCAGCAGCCTGTCTGATATATATCAGGTAAAATTGCATTTCTTTCTTATTTTTCCTTCCTTGCTGTTAAACATTCCATAAACAGAGTGGCCCTTTATCCAAGCCTTGCCCTCTTGATGCTTCTGCATATCCTTGTGTTGCTCGTGTGACTTGCCAGCTCCGCAGCCACGCGGAAGTGAAACAAACTTCTTGTAAAGCTCTTTTTGTTGCTTTTCACATCTTTATATACCAACAAGTGTGCCGTGGCTTTTAAAAGTCACAAGTGATGATTTATGGGATCATTTTCCTTCTTTCTGAAATGGAGCAAATGTCATGAAATCACTCTTGTGTTTCAGATACCTTCCTTGATGAGTTGTATTTATTGTTAATAACAGTCTGTTCTGCAAACAAAAGCATGGTAATAAATGCACTCTCTGCACTAATTGACTGCGGAAATTCTGGTGTTGCTCACTGAGAGTAGAAGTGATCTGAAATCCAGAGATAGCTTTCATTTGTTTGCAGATAATATACTTGATGTTACCTGTCTCGTGTGAAGTTGGAGAGCTAGCTTCATGGGTTTTTTTTTCTGGTTGATGAGGGTGCTCGTCCTGTGTTTGTGTTGAGCAGTAATTTTGCAGCTTTTCCCCTTTCAAGTTGAAATCTGACTGTACAATACTGAGTATATAGCAACCGTTGAGCATGATGTAGGTGTAACTTGATTTTAGACACCTGTTGTCTTCCTTGGCTACTGTCCGGCTACTATTTCTATACTGGAAGCAGATTAGTGATGTATCTATTTACAACAAAGTATTGCTAGGTAACTTTAAAAATAAGGCATTAAAAGCAAAAATCCTTTTAGAACATTAAGTGTCTTTATGCATTTTTGTCCTATTTAATCTATTACCTTACTCCTACTTTAGATCTACTTGCTGCCAGCTAGGTCAGGAGTAGCTTGCATCCCTGGGAGGCTTTTCAAAATGCTCTGTGGATGATTTCTGAGAGGCAGTGCTGGAAGATGTTGTTCTGTATCTTGATTTTTTTTTTTTTTTTTTTAAATTTTCTGAGTCAACAGGATTGATTTAATTAGTCAGAGTCACCAGAACTAGTCTGCATATCGTACCTTAACATCTCCTATATTAGGATGCTGACGGACAGTCTTCCTGACCATCGTCTGCCTGCCTGTCTACCTGAGTAGTTGGGAGAGGTTGCTCTAAGTGAAAAGCACTTAAAATATATTATTGATAACGAAAATACCATTCTAGTAATGAGTGAATACTCTATCATGTGTCGCTAACTGCCCTTGAAATGCCTTATGTCTCCTCTTAAGAAAATGCCAAAAGAGTATAGTTGCTAAACAAATAAGAATTATATAAATAAAAGAAATAATGGAGTAGCATATTTACATGCACTGGAGGAAATAAACAGTGGTGAAATGTATTTTTATACCCTAAGGAATTATTAATTTATTAATGTGAAAATGACTGGAGATTTTCTATTAATTTTGAGGATTCCTTTCAGGTAGGCATCTCCTTCTCGGTGACGTTAGCCCATCTATTTTTGCATCCTGCAGGGAATGTGGACATCTGTAAATTTTGCTGAGAATGTCCAGCCAGCGGGGTGATGTCTGAGGCAGGTTACCACTGTCAGACTCGTGTGAGACCTTCAAAGATAACAACACAGCAATGGACCATCATAGCTACAGCGTTGTTAATCCTGAAAGATAGCATTGGAGAATCAGGCATTTGATAAAGCATGGGTGAAGATAAGATGTGCAAGAGGCGTGTCATGAGGGGGGGAAAAAGACCTCAACAACCCACTGGTTTGGGGTTTTTTTCCCTTTTCCTTATTTTTTAGTGAAGTTTTTGTATCTTGTTCTCGTATGCATAATGTGCAAATAGTAACTTGTCAAAGGATGCTGGGCTTTTTTTATGGGCTTTATTGCAGTAGCTATAACAGTTTTGGAGAAGTCTCTTACTCTTTGTAACCCAGTTATAAGTGCATGGATAGATACCGTGTAATAATGTCATGGCACGGTATTAAACATAGCATTATATTGCCGTGACACATCAATACAGACAGATTTTGAAATGGGAAAGAAAAAGAAAAGCGTTTCCCTCAATATTCATCATGATATTATGAAGGGAGAGAATCTCTTTGATACGCAGTAAGCCTACATTTTGAGTATAACGTATTGGCTCGGTAGCTGAAAGCATTTTTGGTACATTAAAATACGGCTTTTCATAAAATATTTGGAAAGTGATGCTTTGAGCTTGCGGTCAGCTTCATATCTATTACATGCCAAACTCTGTAGGAGTATCATTAATGTCAGCAGAGGAAGAGCGTTTTTGAATAATTTTGATTAATGTAGCTTTTAAATGACCTTTTGAATGAATGGTATCTTAGCATTAATTTTTACAGTAAGTAGTGCAAACATAATTCCAGAAGAGGAAAATATGATTAGAATAGTAGAACTGAAGAATGAAACAATTTTTTATTAAGATTTGGAAGGGGTTTCCAGTCATCTGTGTACACTGCATTCATCGATAGTCTTGAAATGAGGTTTCGCTTGTTCCAGCTGCTTCTCAGTCCAGGTGTTGAACAGGAAATGATGAACACAAAGCTTAAGGTAGGATCAGCAGAAAAGGAGTCCTGCCTGTAAGCACTGCTGTGAACATACTGTATTAAACCCTCAGTTAATTGCAGGAACTTATGAAAATAAATGTATGAAGGTATTTTTCTCCCTTCTCCTGTACCGTTACTGCTCCCTGTTGGAGCTTTCAGTCTTTATGTGGTAAAATGTCCAAACGTATGTGTTGCAAAGTCCAATTTGCTTCGAATACTGCAGAGCAGTTGTTTTGCTGTTGGACTGTAGACTTTTTTTTCAAAAAAAAATACGGGAAAAAAAGTTGTTCTGTACAGTTTTTAAAACAACTTCTTTAATTTGCTTGAAGTGTTTCATTGTTGGCTTTTTTTCCTTTCAAATTTTTTATTTTTTCGTTCAGCCCATTTCTGACGGTATGCCTGGTTTCAGAGCTATGGCGTTGAGACAGAACGAGAGGAAATGGGCTTAAGCTGCGCCAGGGGAGGTTTAGGTTGGAAATTAGGAAAAATTTCTTCACGGAAAGGGGGGTCAAGCATTGGAACAGGCTGCCCAGAGAGGTGGGGGAGTCCCCATCCCTGGAAGCGTTCAAAAAACGGGCAGAGGTGGCACTTGGGGCCATGGTTCAGTCTAGTCTACCCTTGATTGGTTTAGTGTGGACTTGGTAGTGTAGGTTAATGGTTGGACTGGATGATCTTAAAGGTCTTTTCCAACCCAAACGATTCTCTGATTCTATGATTCTAAGTAGGGGAAGGTGTGTGGTTATGCGTACAGAAGTTGGAATGAGGGATTATAACTTCTGCAAACAGCTGCTTTGACCTGTCAGAGGTATCCTCAGGGAAAATTAATTCAAAAGGTATTACAGAGGGACAGCGTCTTTCTTTGCCCTTTCGCGGGACAGGCTGTAAGGCAGCTGGCCACGGTGCCATGGGTAATCCAGATCACGTCTCTAGGTGTAGGTGGGTAGGGTCTCGCTTCTGCTGTCAGGAGTTAGTTGCCTCTATCAATAGCTGGCAATCCCTGTTCTCTTAATGACCAACAAATTTGCATCTATTTTTTCTTATCTTTTTAGTTCTGTCAGTGGTATGCTTCAAGTTTCTCTTTTTAAAAAAATCTTTCATTTATCACTTTGGCAGTATATACTATTTGTGGGCAGCAACATTATTGCCCAGCAATAATTCCAGTTGTGGTTAAGGTTTTGATATTAAAATGGATTATCTATAAAATATGCATCAGGGAGCGGGCCTTACTGCGGGCTTTTCTATCAGTTCTGAAGAAGACTTGGACATTTTTCCCCTGCCGGAATTGACATGAGGGGAAGGGAAAAACCCCCTTGCTCTTAATAGCAGGTTGCATCGGGAGTCACGAGTACTGAAATACATTGTCATACAGAGCTATTCCGGCACGGGACATCTTTTACGTGAGGCATATTTAATACTGTTTTTCTGTCACTGTATGCTTCTGAGCCACATTGTAGTGGAATATGTATCATCATCACCGAAACGTTGCAAGGGCTAGTTCTTGGCTTTGGCTTCCGAAGTGCAGGCCAGCGTACAGGACGTCTCCATGGTCGACATTTGGCAAACCTAGCTGAAACCTGCTAATTGGCAAAATTTGCAGTACTATATAGAGAGTAATAATAGTGTGATTTTAAAATAGCAAGCAAACGTTTTGACAGTAAACTGGTGTTAACTTTCCAGGTGATCTACGTGACACGCACCATTTGAGTCCCTTCCTGCTGCCTTCTCAATAGATACTCTTGCCCCATAGACCCAATCCTGCAAATCCATATTTGTGTAAGATCTGAAGATTGCAGCTTCTGGTTTCGTTTTGTACATTAGTAGTTCGTAAATGTTTCCGTTAAGAATGATTTTGATATTTGATAATGGAAACAGCTGGGGCATCATGCTTGGGAAGAGCAGCTACTTTTGCAGACAGCTTTACGAGCAAAATCCTTCCTGTTCCTTCCAGCACTGCCTGACCTGCCAGCGTTGTCAACCATCTGCACATAATCTTGGAAATGCAGTTTGAGGACCATCTCTTATTTCATAGCTTGATCAAATTATAACTTATTTATTAAGAAAAGAGACGATTTGTTTATTGTCCTAGGTAGGATAGACAATGAAAATTTTGAAGAATCACTTTTCTGTGGAACCTGTAGCCTCAGGTTTGTTATCTTAGCTTGAGGTTATCGAAGTGGGAATTAGTACTGTAGTCTGTCTTACCCTGCCTGGAAAAGTTGATATACATTGTGGCTATTTACATGAAGAAATGCTAGAAAAGTCCTTGAATAAAGTGCTGTACTGATTGTGTGCTGCTGAGACTCTCCAAGCACAATTTGCCCTTGGGCTTAATTCCAAAACTGTTAATGTGAGCTACATAAGCCAGTAAAGTGATGTAATGTAAACCAGATTTAACCCTATATATATAGTTACCCTCCTCTGAAAGAAATGTCTCTGTTAATAAATAAGGCTTAAATGATTTAGGTTTGCTGGCTAATTATTAAAATGAGGACAAGCTCAAAGGTCCAAGGTTAGATCTAAGCCCCAGTATTTTTCTGTCTAATGAAAGAAGGAAATGCTGCTCATCTGTCAAAGCGCTGGGGCCCGCGTTAGCTGATCAACATGGAGCGTGTAGGAAGATGGAGGCAGTGCAGTCTGCTGTGATTAAATCGCTTAAAATGAGTGTTGTTTTTTATGAGGCAAGGAAGGCAGGAGACCAGCCTGGCTGAGGAAGGACCTCCTGGTCAAGCTAAAGCGCAAGAAGGCAACGCATACAGCGGAACCGGGCATGTGTATCCTGGGAGGAGTACAGGGATACTGCCCACACGTCTGGGGTTGGCATCGGGAAACATAAGGCACAGTTGGAGCTGGATTTGGCAAGGGATGTGAAGCATAACAAAAGGGCTTCTACAGGTACATTGGTCAGAAAAGGAAGATTAAAGAAGATGTAATCCCCTTCTCCCCGTAAATAAGACAGGTGCACTGGTGACATGGAGAAGCCTGAGGTACTCGACAGGTTTTTTTGCCTCAGTTTTTGCTGGTAGTCATTCTTCCCACATCTCTCAAGTCGCAGGGACTGGGGGAACAAAGCTCTTCCCGTGGTAAGAGAAGACCAGGTTGGACACTGCCTGAGGAACCTGAACATACGCAAGCCCATGGAACCCAGTGAGATGCACCCCAGGGTGCTGAGGGAGTTGGCTGATGTAGTTGCGAAGGCACGCTCCGTCTTGGGAAGTCATGGCAGTGAGGTGAAGTCCTGACTGGAGAAAAGGGCTGAGGCTCTGGGGAGGCCTTACTGCAGTCTTTCAGTGCTTCAGGGGGGCTTAGAAAAAAGACTTTTTACCAGGGCCTGTAGGGACAGGACGGGGGCAATGGTTTTAAACTGAAAAAGGGTAGATTTAGCTTGGATATAAGGAAGAAATGTTTTATGATGAGGGTGCTGAGATACTGGAACAGGTTGCCCAGAGAAGTTGAGGCTGCCCCATCGCTGGAAGTGTTCAAAGTCAGGTTGGACAGGACTCTGTCCTTTATTTTGGAGGTTTTGTGAACGTGCAAAGTATATGATGCATTAGTTTGTCATCGGTGTGTTTTGTAAAATCTCAAGGATTTATTTTAAAGTGAAAGTGCATATTATAAATGTGTTCACTTAAAAAAAATAAACTCCATTTGCGAGTCTGTATATAATTGCCTTATACTTCTCAGTGACACATCTTGTTGTTCAGATTTTTGAATTTGAACAGAAAAATGATTTGCATGCTGCCTTAAGCTAAAAAAAAAAGTGATTGAGCAACTACTCTGTGGAAACTGGAAATTGAAAATTTGAAACTACTTTTTTTTTTTTTTTCCCCCCCTTCCATCTGTTTGGAGAGTTATTTTCATGGAATTACATCATTTAAACTTTACATAAGGAATTATTGCAAATGATTCCTATGTGATTCTGCTTTTTGTTGCCAGCATTGCATTCTCTTTCACCGTTGCTTCATGTCTCAGCTCAGTGTGATGTCTCTATTGCCATCTATTGATGACAGTAGAAATGTGTCTACAGGCATCGTGTAACCAGTGGTGTTACTGAATTATATTATTATTTCATTAATAATACAGACTCTCGAATTGTGAAAAAACACTTTGTTTACATGAATTCGCAAGAAAGAGTAAATGCTATAAAATGAGAATCAGGCAGTAGAGGAAAAGAGTAGTCATCCTTATCTCCCCCCCCACCTGGCATACTTACTCAGTGCCAGGATTAAAATCCATGTTATAATACCAAAATTTAAAATGTGATCAAATCCCTTTCATTTTAGCCACGCAGTCTGCTTTATTTTTTCCTGTGTCACATGGTTAATATTGATGGGTTTATCTTGCCTGTAGCTCATTGAGGGTGGGGAGGGATATACATAATGACAGAGAACAAATGTCCCAGTATGTTAATTTTGTTTTCAGAACTCATGATCATAATTCCTGTAGCATGCTGTTGCTTTATGCCAATGGTACATATTTGTACCATCCTGTAACTGTAGATTTCAGTGTAACATGTTTTTTTTCAGTGTTCAGAAAGGGAGCTGTTACAATTTCTGGTTTGAATTGTTAGTCACGGAATTTCTTTTGTTTTATTAGCTACCTAAGATAAGACCATAAAGCTTTAAACTGAAGACATTGAACTCTTTGTCTGATGGATGTTTTCTTTGTAGGCTACAGAAAGTGAGATGGGAGACGTTGATTTAACGGGTCTTCCAGAAGCACCTGTAGACTCTGAAGATGAAGAAGAAGAAGAGGATGAAGATATTGACAGGACTTCAGATCCGCTTCTAGGGCGAGATGTTGTACGAGAGTGCCTTGAGAAAGAGCCTGCAGATAAAACTGATGATGATATTGGTGAGGAGGGGAAAAAAAAATCTTTATGTAGAACTGTCATATAACACCTGTAAGAGAAGCATATCTGAAAACTGGTTAATGAGTTAATGTTAAATGTATATTCTCATAATTATGAAATTATGCCTTCCAGAGATCAGTGTGCTCTAATGATACTGTTAATTGAATGATTTCTCCTCTTACTATCTGAGAGAGTATTTGTTCTGAGAAAGTAAGTATTTTTAAAAACAGTCTCTGAGGCGCTTAAAATGTTAAGTATTACAGTCATTGTATGTATTGATACAAGAGAGGGATAGGTAGCAAGGTAATTGTGACTGCCTGAAACTGGTGAATTAGTTATTAAATGTCAAAGAGGGTATACTATTACTGCAGTATAGATTTACATAATTGTAAGCTGGAAAACATTTAAGAGTAAAATAATTTACTGCAGTGTTTAACTAGAAATTTGCATTAGTTTAATAGTAAAATTTGCGTTATGCTGTATGCTTCAGATTACTTCTCTAAACACTGGAAAGTCATTTCATGCTCCTATCAAGCTTATAATTACTGCACCGTAAGGGTATTTTTAATTTTTCTGAATGCTTGAAGCTGAAGTGCTTTTACACTCTGGCCAGACTGCTGCCGTAAGAGTCAATCAGAACACGATCAAGACTGTAGAGCCGAGTTCCGGTTGTTGATGACAAAATGCTTACTGGGCTCATTTAGCCAGAGGCACTAATGGGGAGTGTAACACTGCTGAGCAATTTTTCCATGAATTTAACTGAGATTTAATATACCTGTGGAGGGTAAGGTATCTAAGGAACCCCTGGGCTTCATACCAATGTTTCCTTTGTCTAACAGAGCAATTATTGGAATTTATGCACCAACTCCCTGCCTTTGCAAACATGACTATGTCTGTGAGAAGAGAACTTTGCTCAGTGATGATATTTGAAGTAGTAGAGCAAGCAGGAGCCATCATACTTGAAGACGGCCAAGAAGTAAGTTACTGCTTACAACACAATTTGAGTGCTATAGGCAGTAGGTTAACAAGGGCATCTGGGCGCGAAGGGCTGGAAAAATCTGTTTCCCATCTCTCCCGCACCTGAAAGTTAGAGAATTCTCTCGCCGTGACCCATGTCCAAAATCTCCAAACCTTAGCCCATCCCTTTGGGAGATTCTGCCTGTGTATTAGTAACTTGTTCAAGACTTCAACGTGGCAGAGTATAGACAGGTAAGTGCTAACATCTGGAGGAGTTTCTTTCAAAGATTATTTGTGGCATAGAGAATGCATCATTTCCATTGGTAAAATAACTCTCTTCTTCTAACGTCATTTTTTAAAATACTAACATGGAGTTAGTATTGCCCAACAATGTAGGTATTATAACATAAATGTCTAAATTAGGAGCAGTTTCCATACATACTCAGTGGGAGGAGACAGATGTTCAAATTAGTCAGTGGTCAGGCTCCCAACGTAGGTGCCCTGAATCACTATTTTGAACTCTCTGTCAATATGAAGACGTCTGGAATGGCCGTAGCTGGTCAGCCCTCCGAGAGGGCTAGGTAGACTCTTGTCTCTGGTAGTGACCAAATGGGTACCCAGGGGAAGAGTGTTCATTCTCACTAAACGGTATAAATATATTGTAGCAATTAGCCCACTGATTTAAAAAAGCAATCTATTCATCAGCATTCCTCCCTACTGGATTAGTTCTGAAATGAATGAAAAATGCTGAAAAGCATTCTTGTTTCAGTCATCTTTATTGCTTGCCTTACAGTACACGTTTTTAGTGAATTAAATGTTGCAAAACTGTTGTGACAACAAACTGGAGACTGCAAGAATAAGCCTTTCTGAGCTGAGAGCATTGGAACAGCTTATAAAAGTTGTTGAATTAACTTCACTTTTTAAAATTTGTTTTTTACTTTGTCTAGCTCGATTCTTGGTATGTTATTTTAAATGGCACAGTGGAAATCAGCTATCCTGATGGGAAGAGTGAGAGTCTCTGTATGGGAAATAGTTTTGGGATTACTCCCTCTCTGGACAAACAGTACATGAATGGAGTGGTCAGAACCAAAGTAGATGATTGTCAGGTAAGATTACAATTCTATACAACTGCCTTGTATTTTTAAGCATCTAATAAAAGAAAACAGACTACTTTCATCTTAAGGCATGATCTTTATTCCAGGAGTAGAAAAAAGGATGTTGGTATTTTATGGGTCAGGGGCTCGGCTGATGTTGCATTAATTGTACATGCTTTAGTAGCTCGGATTTATTTCACGCTGCTGTTGTGTGAGAAACAGGAAGTTCTGCTTTGGGCTGAAATGTAAGCTTAGTCCACCCCAGTCATGCTGTGTACGTGATTGACACGCAGTAAGAACAGATAAAATAGAAAATAGCCATTTCCACTTCGCAGAGGCTTTGTCCTCTATAGGTTTAGCCCATTCCGCCAACCTTTCGGAGATGTAAGAAGGTGACCAGTTCTATTTGTCTTCTAACTTTCTCGTGTAGTTGGGCAGAACACAGTAGGGTTGGTATCAAACGCTGTGCTATTGTGGTTGTGTTGAAGCAGCCCAGAGGGGGGGATACCTTCATGTTTTGGAGATGTATTAACAATCCCGTGTCGTTTGGGGGCAGTTTGTGTGTATAGCCCAGCAAGACTACTGGAGGATTCTGAACCACGTGGAAAAAAACACTCATAAAGTGGAGGAAGAAGGAGAAATTGTTATGGTAAAGGAGCACAGGGAGCTGGATCGCAGTGGAACCAGAAAAGGACACATAGTTATCAAGGTGAGTTTCTTTCTAGGCTTCCCATTGATCTATTAAACTTTATCTGTTAGTAAATAAATACAATTCTGATTTGATTCTAGAGCACATACTCAGTTTTTTCTGTCTCAGCTCAAAAAAATTGATTGGAAGGCATTTATATGACTTTACAAAGTTATTTCCATCTCCCTTTTAATAAAGTTAGACCTCTTCGGCACACATATTGAGTTTTGTATTGGGAGCACCCTTTGTGCATCTTTATGTATTGACCTGTTTTTTGTAATCCGGAGGAGGAACTTAAACTGTTTATTAAAAATAAAATTAAGGGCAGTTACTAATTGTTTTAACCAGGTATTACCTATGCAAAACTTTTGGGCTGAGAGAATCATGAAGATTTGATTTAAACACGTTAGTGTGTTTTGTCCTGAGTTTGCCATAACTGAAATTTGAAAAGGGAGTATACTGTTCGCATGGTTTTATGTTAAGATACTCTTTAGAGAGAGGTAGCGATGAGAGGTATCAGTTAGTTTTTGCATTTAATTTTCAAGGCAACACCCGAGCGGCTCATCATGCACTTAATAGAAGAACATTCTATTGTGGATCCAACCTACATCGAAGATTTCCTTTTAACGTACAGAACGTTTCTAACAAGCCCCCTGGAAGTTGGAAATAAACTCTTGGAGTGGTTCACAGTGGACAGCCTCAGGGATAAGGTTGGTTGGAGTCTAAGAGATTAGTATTTCTCATGTAAATGTCTCCAAATTGATTCCTTTTTGTGTTGATAAACTAGGATTATGCTCCAGCTTTTTATATGAACTATTTTAAAGCAAAGTGTTTTTCACTAGTATCAAGAAAGGATTCTCCGGTGTGTTGTATGTCTATAGTCTACTAACCTAAATTAGGTATGACACTGCTGCTCTTCTGCAGAATGATAAATACTGTTTTCTATTTAATTTAAAGATGTAAATGCCAGTCTCTGAAATCCTTTTTCACCAGAAATGCAGGGAAGTTGTGTTCATGAGCTCTTGGACATACCATCTTTCTTTTCACAAGAGAACTGTGCTTCTCTGTCTTGTTTTCTACTGTAGAGCTTGTTCGGTGTATTGAGCACTTTTTGTTTGAGCAGCTTATTACAAACTCTGTACTTAAACTAAACTCTGCTCAGGACAGGTGCAGTTGATAAAAATGCTTCCATAAACAGAACGACGTTCAACTGTATGTAACTGTACACACATACACGTGAAAAATGTTCATAGTCTGGAACTTGTATCCATGTCCAATTCTTCGGAAATTGTGGCAGTAAAATTCTTAGCCAGCAGTTTTATATGTTCTAGCTTTGAGCTGAAGGAAACCCAACAGACTATCAAAAAGCTGCATTTTTTTTGCGTAGGAAATTGTCTAGGGTCTTTTGCTGTGGTTACTGCTTCTCTTCTTACCTTTTTCCATGCTGTTCATTTTGGCAACTACTCTTTTTTTTAAGAAAAGGAAAGTAAAAGAAAACAGTCTTAGCAAATGAGAGGAAATTGTTTATTTTTAGAAGAGAAACTGCTATAGATTAACCTTTTTTTATAACATGGATGGATAAAATAGTTGTCAGACTGATTTTATCATGAATGGTAGGATGAGAGGAAATGGCCTTGAGTTGCATCAGGGGAGGTTTAGATTGGATGTTAGGAAAAAT